TAATAATTATTGCAGTTTGCAGTATTGTATTAGCGATTGGCGACAGCGGTCAACGTCTGTGGTCATGTTTATGCTATTTCACAGTAATAATATTAAACAATTTACAGTATACATATAATGTGCATTTTTTTTACAAAGATTTAATTTTTTAATTACCGTGGTATTATTTAACATCAAAATAATTATGGCTCACTATAAGCTATGGCTAGTTCTGTTTAGGATTTAGGTTTTAGCATAATACTTGCCAAAGAATAACATAAAGACGCACACGTCGAGTACGGCAAAACTATACGGTGTACGATTAATTAAAATTAAACTTTAAAAATATTTATTTCCAACGGGTTAAAACTAGTATTAACTGCAACCTCAATTTCATAATTTTAAGATTTATGATTAAAACTGAAACCTAAATGAAATTTTTTTGAAAAACCAAAACGAAACCGAAATTGAAAAAAAAAACCATAAAAGTTATAATTTCCGGTTTTATCCGATTACTTGAGCATTTGATACAATTGGCAAAATATAGATCTATTCTGATAGGCAAAAGAGCTGGTATTAAACCGAACATTTATAATTATACGCTTGTGGGTTTATTACACGAATATTTATTCGTACTTATTTTAAACTCGGACAACCAGCATGGTAAAACACGCATTAGTGAGCAAAAAACGAACAAACAAAAAAAAAATTACCGCTATAAATAATTCTGAGCGGAATTTAGTGGCTAGCGATGCTTTGTTTACATATCATATTTTAGTAAAATAAATAAATAGGCACTATTTATTTTGTTAAATAATATTTGTTAATTTTTTTACTGATTTTCTCGGTATTCTTACGTTTCTCCCGGTTTTCCCGTGTTTTTTTCCTGGTTTTTTACGATTGCTGGGAAAACTCCTGAGAAAATCGAAAAATGACTTATATAAAGTACTAAGATTTCCCCTTAGAAACATTGCTATCATTAAAAATTGGGACAGATTCGGTTGAAAAGTTGTTCACAAGAAAAAAGAAGGCCATAGTATATTTTAACTAATACCAACATTTCTTATATTTTTCTGTTTATCCACAGGTTTTTTCGGGTTTTCAAATTTATTGAGGAAACTTTTGAAAAAATCAACTAAATTTACCCACTAAAATACCTCCTCACATCGACTTTCTTTCAGAAAAAGTGCAACATTTAAATCGGATCAATATCTCTGACAGAAAAATTGTCCATGGATAAAAAAAACAAAAACATCTTTGTGAAACTATAAGCTTCTTTACTTTACTCAGAATCTATATTTTGTACTAAAATTTGAAAAAAAAAAAAAATCAAAATTGAGACATAGTTAAAAACTCATTATTTACATATTAAGTTAATAGTAAAAAGACATAAGTCAAGTTAAAACCCGAGTTACTAAAAAAAAAATCAAAAGTTACGATACCAAAATTAAAATTCAATTGACTTTCAACTCGTTATTAAGATATACGAACTGAATATATTATAATAGGTGCAACCATTTTGTTAGAAACACAACGTTAGACATTTAATCCAGTTTTTTTTTTTTTTGTTTATATTGCTTAATAGATGAATCAAATTTTAGTTTACATACGGTGTATTATGAACTATTAATACCAAATGTATTACTCGTTAACGGCAGCTGATATAATAATATGCGACCACTTATACTTACGTGGAACATATTATTTCGTTAGTTTTTTTTTTTTTATATAAACGAAGATTTTGTGTTCCGATTGATCCTTTCTGAGAATTCAGTTATCAGTTAAGTGTACATATATTACATCATATTTACCACGGTATTTTTTTATTTTTTGTCCACATTATTAAAAAGAACTAATAAAACGTTATGGCGCCGTCCTTGGGCACAACACCAACGAAGAGGTTAAAGGGGATTCCGATATTTTTTTTGTCATAACGAGAATCGTTGTTTAATGAACAACAATTCTGAAAAAAAAAATCCAAGTATAATGTTTTTATATAAGTATATTATGTACAATAAATTGGATGAAATAAATAATTATAAGCTATATACTTTATGAAAACATATTTATGAGGACAAGTTTTGTCATTACGAATTTGTTCGTTTTAAATCGTACAATTTTTCAGTTGTCGGATGAATTTCCTGAAAGTTCGATTGAGTTTAATAAGTTTTCCAGAACATCTCTCGATTTTCGGTTAAAAATATATGGTCTCCCATCGTGGTTTTCGCACTTCAACCATTTAAATGTATACGCTATATTAAGGTGTTATTATTTTGATGGTGGCCGACAAATCGACGTATTTTACGTCCTAAATCTAAATCGTTTTATTTATAAGTGCCTATAACTTTGTATTTCGCGCTCGTACATATTATAAAATACGACTGATCGGTCGTTTAGTCATAATAATAATACACTGATGTATATTTCGGGAGCCGTGTCCTTTGTTTCATCGTCTATTGTTTTATTTCGTGATGACGTCATATTATAATTAATTAATTAATAGTATGAAAGAAAGTGTTTGTGTGCGATTCTCAGCCGAATCGATCGCATTCAAAGGCCCTGGCTAATTATAAACAGAAACGCGTATACATAAATGAACTGGTTAGTAAATGACGGTGTACAACCCGAAGCTGGAATATTCGAAATTCAACCACTATAAAGGGTAGTTGAAACAGGGTTTTTCGTATTTTTAAAACGATAATCAAATTATTTTTGTTGGTTTTTATAGGTTGCGTCTTGGCGGCAGTGATGAAAAAAGTAAAGAAAACAGTTATATTTTTGGAAGACGTCACGAGATGCCACCACGCGGGTCTCTCCGATACGTTTTTATTTCGTTCAGAAATAATAACTTTGCAACGTCCTGATTTTTGATTGTGTCATATCTGGGGGTTTTTTTTTACGTGTAACCGTTGTTTTTGTCTATTTCAATCGATCTGTGATTTCGTCACGTCGTTGTATTTGTTGCTGGAGTATTTCGTAATAGTAATCGAACGTTTTGGCGTTTCCATCGTACTCACCGAATATTGCGCTGTACACAATTCTAATAATTTTCTACTATTGTGATTTTATTTTCGATGTCAATGCTCACGTATACCGCGCAACGGTATCAATCGAGTACGAGTACATACAAAACGGTGAAGTGAACGTTTATCTAAACCTTTTAGTATTGTATTATTTTTATAAAGTTCACGGTACACATACACTACAGTGACGTATTTACATTTTTGGCACCCTGGGCAATGTTCTTTTAAAGCTTTTTCATAATATAAGAACACGTTATTTTTTACAACACACTTGAATTTCAAGCTATGTTCTTTTTGCATTAAAACATTTTATTTTAGGCCTCATTGAGTGAGTGTGAACTTGGAGGTTGTAGTATTTACTTTTTTATTTGTCAAGTTTGTATTCCTACACGAATTTATACATTTATGTAAATTATCTGTTATATATCATAATAGTCGTGATAAAATCGATTTTTTCATCATGATGATAATTAATGAATAATAATAAAATATAAAATTACTATTTAACGATATACATCCTGGAAATATCGGGGAAAATTTAAACTGTGAGTCGCTATATTATTAGGTTGGTATTATTAACTAAATATAGTATAATAAATAACTGTAATTAGTTATGATGGAATAAATAAATACTATACAATTAATATTTATGCTACGTTCTTTTAGCGGGCAAAACACTGTTTACGTCGTTGTACACTATTTGAACTATTATAATAATATGCATATAATGATTTTATTTTACTTTTTTGACATATGACAATGACACAATCATTTGTCAACATATCGTTAAAATAATATATTTGAACGAAGCCAGTCACTACGTTATACGATGATAACTTAGTGACAGAATAGGATCCAACTTCAGTATATTAGAATTTATCCAGAACACCCGACGTTCCTCCCTTTCAATAAAATACCAATGAAATTATTCTAGCTTTCGACTCTTTAAGTTAATTTTTTAGAGCCTACGAACAATAAAAAATAAAATTAGTTTTATAACAATAAAAATCATTTTAGTAAATATTGCGTAGTATTCACAGTAAATGGTAGTAAACAGTACATTTTGGGATAAATTTTTTAAGGAATCAGTCGACAGGAAACTTTCAAATGTGTTGGAGATAAAAAAACTAACAAATTATTGTTATTTCAACACTATTAACCAGAAGATAAAATGGTCTGAGTCATTTGGAAAATTCCTATTGTCAGACCGGCTACCCTCTCCCGACGTTAATTAAATATATATGGGAGTATTTTTGGAGGCGTCATAATGACAAGGTTTTTATTTATTTTTTCTAAACATAGTAGATGTACTATTATAGTAATCGCGCATAATTCATTGTAATCTTTTGGTCCCTATGGATTTTATTAAATAAACGTCGACGCCCATGGAACTAAAATAAAAATATTTTTATATTTCTGTATTAATCATGAATGCTGTTAGAGGAGAATACATATTGTATGTATTCATCTGAATTTCAATATAGCTGATAGCAAAGCGAATAAATGTATATTGGATATCGGTTTTTATACTCATCATTCTTATACTTTATTTAAACTAGACGTGTGTAGATGTCTTCTTGCGTTCATACCTATACGCATTTACCCTTAGCGAAAAAATACAAATTACATTCAATGTAACATATATAACATTTATAATAGAAGAGATGTGAAGTTATATATAAATAACGTGCAGCGCAGCAGGTTTTTTTGGCACCGGAGTCAGTGACCTTTAGATATTATTAATATTATATTCACGTGAAATTATCGATTAAACATTTAATGACCATATTTCTTCGCCTAAAAACAAATTATAACTGTTATCCGTTTTTATTATTAATATATATTTTTTAAATTAATTAATCGAATAATATTTTTACCATAGACGAGGAAACATGTATAGCTTTATACAACTTATAATATGTAGATATTCGGGGCAAAACAATTTAAAAAAAACAAAGCAGGCATAATACGGATTTTCAATTTTATTAAAAATAAAAGACTTATAAATTAAAATATATTTATCTATACTCAGTTATTAAATAATATAATGGATCTTTTATTTTTTTGTAGCAACGTCGATTGGTATCTCTATATAACGACGTGTATCTATAGCGGTTATTGTGTTGTATTTGAAAAAGTCGAAATCACTCTATCGTTAACGTTTTAATACTTATGTATAATGCTCGTATAGCGAATGATTAATTATTTTGAGTCAGTGCTGGGAAACGAATGAACCCCATTAAGCCGCTTTGACGAAGGTTTTGTATAGCTGTCCTAATGGTTTTTATGTTAATTTTACTGTGTAGAGGTAGACTTTAGAGAGTTTACAGAGTGTCTCGCCTGGTATGTCCCAGCAAAATGTCTCCGTTATTTCAAACACCGATTTTCAGAAATAATGCTAAGGGAATACCAAGTGGAAAAAAATGATATTTAGTCCGCAAAACTAGACAAATCTGTATAGGGTTTGGGTTTGACGGATTTAAATTTTGAAAGTGGATTTGGATTGGTTAACAAGTTTACTAGGTATTTTTTATAACCGGACAATTGCATGTATATGTGTTATGATGAAGAATATAATTATTAGAAAACTACTACACTCGTATTTTGTTCATCGATATCATTTAACTGGTCATTAAGTTAACAAAATATGCGGGTATTGCCAATAGGCCTCTTCCTCCAATCATGTTACTCATGTCATTATTTTCATCATTTATCATTTACTTATTATTTCCTTGTACGGATTGTAAATTTCTTATTTCTTATTTCTTGAATAAAAAAAAAAAATAATAATCATTAATTTCATAAATTAGAAAACTGTTGTTAATTAATCGAAATCTGTTTTCAATTTAAAATCTAATTTTACCCAATCCTTAAATTTTTTTTGTGTTGTTTTTCAGTCTAAAACGTCATAATTGTCCATTAAAATGGATTTCCCCTTATAACTATCGAGCAGTAAATTAGTGGAAAAGTCGCATTATTATGGTAGTCGATAAAATTTTTCGAAATTGAAATAATTTTGATAGCCGATTCTAAACCCCTTTATTTTATCGGAGGTACCAAGGCATATTGTTTATTTTTTAAAACTGTCAGTAAATTTGAAATTAATATTAACAATAGTTTTGCGTGCTTTTTATGGACAAAACGCATTATTATAAAATCGTCTTACGCCATCGCTTCGTTTACTTATGATTCGTATAAGGCAATAAAAATAAATAATAATAATAACTAGAATAGATACAGCTTGACGGAAGTGGTGCAAAGCTAAGTAAAAAAAAAAAAAAACAGCGTAGTAACCACCAATGTTGAAAACCGTGATAACTTGTGTTAATCCATCGGCAAGTTCTACAGGCCAAACGGCTAAACATATAACATCATATAAGGTATCAATCGAACAGAAATATTGTGCAGATAGGAACAGGGGAACTCGATTAAAAGTTACAACCAAAAATATTGAAGTACTTTCAAGTCCGATTTTTCATATTTGACAAAAATATCGTAAAATATTTAGTTTTGTTGCTTCGGCGATGACGATGCCGGACCCTTTTTTATTAGGTTTATATTTTAACGACCAGTTTCGAATTTAAAATTAAAATTATTTAATTCAAGAATAATTTCTGAAATCCAGAGCTATAAACATTATTGTATATATTTACTAAGAAACGCTCTGTGAGACACTTTGCATATTGTCTAATTATATGTTTTTTTATATGGACCGGTATGCGTACGGACAAAAATATAATTTATTATTAGTGTGATATTTATGTCCATCTGTCCCGAAACGGCAGTAGCAATAACTCAAATCTCCACGTGGGAAGCCAACCCGAATAATTTTTTTTTTTATTATGAGAGTCTCGTGTACGTTTTATAAAGACCTACGTAAGTATTTTTCTCAGATAACATTTTTCCAAAGATATTTAGAGAAGTCGTTTTTTGATTTTTCAAGTAGTTTTTATAATATCTGGAAAAACCCGAAATAAAATGTGGATAAAACGAAAAATGTACGAAATGTAAGTATAAGTAAAACAAAATATTATTGCCTTATTTTTCTGTGTATAACTCTTTTACTAGCAATTTTGCTTCGAAAATGATAGCATTTTTTTTTAATAAAAATCTGACTGGGAAGGTACTCTAGGGAAGCTATTTTTCGATTTTCTCAAGAGTTTTCTCAAATAAATGGGAAAAATCGGGAAAAAACATTGGAAAATCTTTATAATTTTAAATAAATAATATTGAAGAAAATATATAATGCTTATTTAATTATTTTATCAAAGTATCACTATCAACTGAACTGTACTCAGAATCGTTTTTTTGTTAGAAATGCTTTATCGTTATTTACAGATATACATTATATTACCTATAACAGTGACTGCACACGTTTCCATTATCCTAAGACGTCTTTTTATATTTTAATTTATATTTCCGTTTTCTGTTTTTCGTTTTAGTTTATACAACATAATTATTTGCAGTATTTGAATGTAATTTCATTATGATCGTGTTTTTCGTTTTCGTTTTAGATTAATAATTCATCCCACGCTTATATTACATTATAGTCCGACGAATTTTAAAATATCACGTCGTCATAAATTTTCAATCAATATAATCCAATTGTTTTCATATATTTTTTTCTTTTGTAAGTCCGCGCAGACTTTAAACATCAGTGCCACAATAATCATAAATATTATATATTTATCAAGCGAACACGTTTACTTATTAAACTCATACTCGCGCAATTTGTGTAAATCAATAGTTTTTCATTAAATAATAGCAAAAAAAATGTTCCCATATAATAATAAAAGATAATTTTACTGGCTTGCTATTAAATTAGATTGTTGTTGCAAACTCTGATAACAGCCGATCAAAGCACCAACATCGAAAAATATTGTTTTTGTCACAAAACCCAATTGGTTTTTCTTGTTTTAAATTTATCAATAAAAAAAAAAGTACCTTATAACGTATTTAGAATATATATCTAAAGACCTATCTAAAAGGTTTCTTACATTTTTTCTCGCTGAAGCACTTTTATTTCAAACATGGTGTTTAAATAGTTTAAAGTACGACCTAGATAAATTGAGCTTTGGATTGTGGATGTAATTGGTTTTCCTTTCATTCAAGTACAGTCCATGTGTGAAACAAATCCTTTTGTATTGATCGATTTTCACTTCGTAAAAGTCTGTTACGAAGCAATTATGTAGAGCCATGATATTTGATTTCTCTGTATTCCAGGATCTTTGTGCAATCTCTTGTATTTTTTATGTATCTAGTGTCTACTACGAATGTACTGAAAAAATAACAAAATTATTTGTGTTTTATATTCCAATAAAAAGAAACTGTTTTATCCAATTGGAAAATACATATAAAAGTCAATTTACAAAAAAATTGATTTGAATATTCATACTTTTACCAATAAATATATAATAAATGTTATGGAATGCAATAAGCAATATGAAAATTGGTTAGTCTTACCTATAACAAGGCGTTGAAGATTTTAACATTTACAATATTTCTCATGTTCGGGTGTGGTTCATTCTTTCACTTTCTAATCTGAGAGCAATCGAAAATATCTGAAGACAAAACCATGGTCAATGGTATTAGGCCAATCCTATTATGCGAAAAATCACTTTTTTTTTTTTATTATTTATTTAAGGCTTCAAATATATCATTTATTAGCCTACAATGGTTTACAAAATTAGTTTATATATATATTCTCCATTGTTTTAGATGTTCGATGCGAGATCGGCTATCTTGATGAAGTCTAATATTTTTTTTTCTTCTTCTAGTTGAATGCTTCTTTGAGTGAGCCTGTGTTTAAGTTTGATTTCGTTCGAGCGTTCTGGTAGTTGGGGCATTCTAGGAATATATGTTTGACTTGTGAGTTCGTTGAGGCACGTTTCACACCTGGGTTTGGGCTCCTTACGCATCAAGTGTATGTATCATGAGTTTGGTGTGCCCAATGCGTACTCGGGTAATCATGATCTCCTCGTGACGTGTTAGTTTAATTAGTGGATCTGGCCATTTTTTTGTTTTGAGTTTTATTTGCTTAAATTTGTTGTTTTGATTAGTTTGTGTATCCCATATATTTTGCCATTGAGAGTGACATTTGAATTTTAGGGCATGGATTACATCCTCATATGTTACATGTGAGTATAATTTGGTGTCCGGAGATTTTGCTGCTTCCATTGCCAATTTGTCGGCAAGTTTATTACCTGGAATGCCGATGTGTGATGGGACCCACATGAATTTGATTGTTTTGGGGTTTGTGAGGATAGTATTTTGGATGTTTCGGGCAAGGTTACATTTTGTATGTATGTTGGATATGGAGGTGATTGCACTAAGAGAGTCACTTAATATGAGGACTTTGTCATAGTTAGTAGAGAGTGAGATGGTTATAGCTTCTAGTATGGTAAATGTTTCTGCAGAGTATACACTGGAGAAAGAGGCGATTTTATAGAGATTGTTGTCTTCAGGGTGAGTGATGGCGAAGCCGATATCATTTGCTTTATTAGAAGCATCTGTATAGTAGTGAATGTAGTTATTGAATTCATTGTTTATTATTTCGTTGAAAGTATTGATTATCAGACTATAGGGTGTATCTTTTTTGTTAAATATGGTTTAAATGGTTGTTAAATATGTTGGCTTCAATCTGCTTCATGTTCCACGGAGGGAATACTGAGATAGTTTCTATAGGTTTGTGTTATAGATCCTGAAAGATATTTCTTCGAGGATGTCATGCAGTTTTATGTAGAAGGGTTTCAGTTGATGATCGTGGTATGGTCTTGTAATTATCTCTATCATGAGTGTTTGGGGCGTGGACATCTTTTTGGCTGCATATTTTGAAATTAGGTATTTTTGTCTGATTTTTAGGGGTAGGCAGTGGGCTTCACATAACAAACTGTCAATTGGGCTTGATCTGAAAGCTCCTTGTGGCCATTCTGATTCCCGCGTTTTGTATTGTGTTGAGCGTTTTTAAGGTATTGCCGTTGGTAAGGCTGTAAATGGTTGATCCGTAATCCAATTTTGGTTGTATCAAAGAGTTGTGAAGGATTAGAAGAGTTTTTGCGATTGGCTCCCCATTTGAGGTGACTAACAGCTTTGATTATATTGAGTTTTTTGGATAAGGCTGCTTTCAATTTTATAATATGTTCTTTCCAGTTAAGTTTGTGGTCGAATTTTAAGCCTAGCAAGCGAAGGGATTTTGTGTTTGGGAGAATAATACCGTGCATTTTTATCTCTGGGGCTTCGATTTTATTTTGACGGTTGAATAAAATCGATTGGCATTTTGTGGGGGAGAACTTGAATCCTGTCTCTGTAGACCATTGGCTGATGTTTTCAATTGTTCTTTGCATAATTGAGCTGGTGGTTTTGATGTTAGATCCTGAGCAGTATAGACTACAGTCGTCGGCATATACTATAGTTTTGACGGGTGATTTAATGTATTTACTAATGTCATTGATGGCTATTAAAAACAGTGTAACGCTTAATGAGGACCCCTGTGGCAATCCATTTGTGCGGAGAGCACCCTATGTTTCTAAACTGTGTCATAGGCTTTCGCGATATCTTGAGAAACCATTAATAAATGATTTTTTTTTCTAAAGCTTCACATATATCGGTGTGGATTTTTGTCAAAGGGTCTATGGTGGACCGGTTTTTCGAAAGCCAAATTGATGAGGTGTAAGGAGGTTGTGGGTTTCTAAATGCCATGTAGACCTGGTATTGATTATGCTTTCGAGGGTTTTGCTCATTGTGTTTATGAGTGATATTGGCCTGTAGTTACTGATTTCAAAAAGGCATTTACCTGGTTTAGAGATAGGGATTATGTATGATGTTCTCCATTGTTTAGGAAAAATATTATTTCTCTAGATATAGTTAAAGATTTTGAGTAAAATGTTTAGTGATGATGGAGATAAATTTTGGAGAAAAGAAAAGGGTATTCCGTCAGGGCCGGTGCTTTTGCTTCTTTTGTTTCTCAGTGAGGTAATAAGTTCATTGATCGAAAGGGGTGAATTTATTGGGTTATCTGTGTTGTCTGCTTCGAATTTGATTGTGGAGTTGGCTTCTATTGTTGTTTTTAAAGTGACGAAGTTTTTACTGTAGTTTTAATTGCTATTGTTCAGTTGGAAAAAGGATCCAAAAGCGTCATCAATTTCTTTTTTGTCTGTAATTGTTTTGTTGTTCGAATTAATTGTTTTTGTTAAGCTACGGTTATTGCCTTTTATGTTGTTGATCTTGGACTACATTAGACTGGAGAATGTTTTGTGATTGATGTTGGAAGTAAAACTTTTCTACGATGAGGTTTTGCTAATATTCACTGTTTGGCGTGAAATCGCTCTGCATTTTTTTAGTTCTATATGGTCTGATTGAAGTTTTGTTTTCCTGATGCAATTTAGTGCAATTTTGTAGTTTTTGATTGCTGTTTCATAAGTTTCATTCCACCAGGGACCTTTTTTTTTATAAAGGAAGGTTGACTTTTACCAATTGTGGATTCAGCGGCTTGGGTAATAATGTTTGAGAATGTTTCAACAATATTATCTATATCTGTTGGGAGATTTGTTTGGAGAAGGATATCGAATTGTTTGGTTGTTAATAGGTTTTCGATAGTGTTAGAGAAAGCGGACCAGTTTGGGTTTCGTAGGAGCCATTTGGGAGTTGGTTTTTCTGTTGGTTGGGATTTGAGTAGTTTTAAGGTAATCGGCCAGTGATCATTGCTATTGTATGAAGTTTGAACTGACCAGTCTATTGATCCTCCTAATGATGCGGATGCAATTGATAAATCGAGAAGCTGTTGTGGGTTGAATTGTGTCTTGTGTAATTACCATCGTTGAGGAGGACTATTGAGTCGTTTTCTAAAAGTTTTTCAATATTTCTTCCACGTCTGTCNTGATTTTTCTGTTGGTTGGGATTTGAGTAGTTTTAAGGTAATCGGCCAGTGATCATTGCTATTGTATGAAGTTTGAACTGACCAGTCTATTAATCTTCCTAATGATGCGGATGCAATTGATTAATCGATGGCGGAGAAGCTGTTGTGGGTTGAATTGTGTCTTGTGTAATTACCATCGTTGAGGAGGACTATTGAATCGTTTTCTAAAAGTTTTTCAATAGTTCTTCCACGTCTGTCAGTGTAGTTAAATCCCCATAGAGTATTTCTACTATTAAAATCACCGAGTAGTATGAAAGGATGAGGTAGTTGTTTTATGAGGTTTTCGAGGTCTGTAAGAGTGAGATTTGCGCTGTCCGGGGCGTATAGGTTGCATAAACAGATTTTTTGACTGTTATTGGATGATATTTTTATTGCAATAGCTTCTAGTATAGTATTTAGTGGGATATTTTCATGTTCTGACATTAATGAAGCGAAAATACAGACCCCTCCGCTGGCTCTGCCTTGGTTTTGGCGGTTTTTAAAGTAGCCTTTGTAGTTTTTGAGATTGGGGATATTTTTATTGTTTTTTAGGTTGGTTTCTTGTAAACACAGGGCTGAGGGTTGGAAGGCGGCGATTAGTGGGTGAACGTCTGGTAGATTTTGAAATAACTGTTGATATTCAATTAAACTATTGTTTCTAATTGTGCTTTATTGTGAGGGGAGACATGGTTGAAGTATATAATGTTATTGTTTATTGTCATTTTTTTTTTTTTTTTTTTTTTTTTTTTTTTTTGAGATGTGTGGACTTATGGTTTATTATTATTTAGAATATTTATACTTCTGATTCATTAGAATCATAGATTTCTACGTTTAAGATTTTTGTAAAACGGGTCAATCTGTTTTTTATGCTATTGTTTTGGAGGCTAGGTTTGATTTTCGTAATGATATCTAACAATTCTTCTTTTGAAAATTTGTATTTGTTGTAAATAGTTGGAGGTTCGAACGGGCCTTGATGATTTTCGAACATATGTTAAAAGGTGATGTAGTTAATTTTAAAGTTATTTTCATCGGAGAAGATTTATTCTGCAGGTTTAAGATATGTGTCGATGATATAGTGCTCCACTATTATATACATTTTGAATAAATTGTACCAAGTCAATGTGATGGTTTTTCCTT